ACGTCACTCGGAGTACGAAACGTCCCTCATTTTCCGTGCTTGGGCTAACTCCTATCCCAAACATAATGCAAATGAGGTGGCATGCACAATGCGACTAACATACAACCTAGCATACGCAATGCTTATAAAATGGCATACACAATGCTCGATGTAACATGACATACGCAACGCTCTAACATGCAACCTAGCATACGCAATGCTATGAATTGAAATGGAATACACAATGCACAATGGACTTACACCAACATGAGTGGACCTCAGCCACACTCACATCAGTGGCCATTAGATGAAAATGAGACAACCGAAATACGTGCACGCATGCACGAATACTGAGGACCGAACCTAAGGCATCAAATGCCACTCTACCAAAGCATGGCAAGGGATAAAAGTTGGCATGAAATAGCATAAATTACAGCTCTGAAATAGCATGAAATATGGTCCCGAAACATGCGAATATGGCACACAATGCAAGTTAGGGGGCCCCGGGTACCGAAACTAGTGAAGTGCGTTACACTAGAGGTACCCAAAGCAATGCACCAAAGGCAAAACCAACCCCAAACAGACCCTAGGCAGGTCTGAAATAGTGGGGAAACGGCCTAAAATGATGGCTCGGAATGCAACAGAATGGAGTTCATTCAATGGTCGGTAAATGAGGCATACAAGCCCGACTCTCAAACGCATTTAAAGAGATGAAAACATGGCAACATGTCATTTGTATGAGCTCTGAAATTTGATGAAAAAATGACTCCAAGGCATGAAAATACCTCAGCATAGGCATGTAATGGACCTCAAAACTCAAAGTTAAGCATGGGTATTGAACTACAAGCATGCAAAACAAACATCATTCGACCATGAGGTCTAAAAATAGAGCTAGGGTAGTCCAAAATAAGCACATTATCATTTTATGACATGGCCAAAAAGTGCTAACATCAAGGGTCCGCAAAGCATGCAAAGAAAGCTAGTGAACCATTAGTTGTTCTACGGCTATATGAAGCATATGAAGGCTCACCTAACCAACCAAAAACATAAGCATTTCATGCCAAAATATGTCAAAATACCCACTGAAACTCAGTCAATGCATGCGAAAATGAGGGGCTCCTTTGGAAGGCCATGCAAGGGGGTATTCTACACCTATATGATAGACAAACAAAAGGGAAAAACCACCTCTGGAAATGAGTTATGAAAGCCCTAAAACCCACCTAATAGGCCCTGAAAATAGTCTCGGAAATATGCAAAGAAAGGTCCCTTTGAAAGGCCTTGAATGAGATTGCTCTACACATGCATCATAGACATAAATTATGACAAAATGGGCTCTTGACAGGGCTTAGGCAGACCTTAAAACCCACAAAATGAGGCCTGAAACATGTCTTCAATGCATGCAAAATAGAGTCCCTTTGGAAGGCCAACAATGCTAGTAAAGAGAATGAGGGGAGAGAAGGTCACCCCTCTATGATTTTGGAGCTCAAAGACACATCAAGGCCACTGAAAAGCCACTAGATTTCAGTGGCTAAGAGGCCAAAACAAGGCCAATGCAAATGCTCACATGCATGGCTCAAAGCATGGGGAAATGAAGCATACAAGGAAGAAAATGACTCCAAACAGAAAAGTGACCTCAATAAAACTTAAAGACGAGGTCAAAAAAAAACTTTCTTCAGTTTAGGTCGAGATCCAAAAATGCTCACAAATAAGGCTAATATATCGTGCAAAATAAGCCCTAAAAAATAGATAAAGCATACAAGGGGGTAGGTTAAGTGCTTCACAGCTGGCACAGTTGTGTTGCACTCAAAAAGAGCAAAAAGCAGAAAGCTGGCCGACCAGCTAAGGTGGCCGGCCGACCACTCCCCCTGGTCGGCCGACCAGGGGTCAAAAGGGTCAATGAGAAATGCTGGCCAGCCATACTAGAAAGGTGGCCTCCCAGATGAGTGCAACACAGCAGTATGGTGAAAAACCAGAAAATGTGACCCAAGAGAGAGAAAAACCAGTTTTTTAGCAAGGTTCAAAAGGGTCAAGAAGAATTAATGGTCGGCCTACCCATATTGGTGGCCTTCCAGATGAGCACAACAAAATGGTGGTATGAAAAGCCAGAAATTGTGGCTCAAAAGTGAGAAAAACCAGCTTTCTGTTAGAAAAATCGAGTTTTGGAGAGAGAAAATGAGAAAATTGGTTTTTTAGGGAAAAAGGTGGCCTCCCACCATCCTACCATCTTCCTAACAATGAAAATAGGGTCTCTATCAAAAATGGACCGAAACGGATGCAAAACGAAGGTTCGGGAGCCAAAACGTGTGGTTTGGGGCCCTAAAAATAGGCTGTTAGGCAGCGGAAGTGGCGTATGACCTCGAAGGTGGTCTCTCCGGGCCACAGTGTCCCTCAAAAGGGAGGAAGTAAGGTGTGTGCCAAAAACCGGAGTGATCGGAGGTAGTTAGGCGGTCCCGAATTGAGGCACACGACCGACGGCTCCGAAAAACTAGAAATCAGGCTCCAAACGGGAAAAATGGCCTACAACCACGAAACGTAGCCTACGGCCACTGAGAGATGGTCTACAAGACTTCTCCCTCCCTTCGGAAAGAGAAAACGAAGAAAACGAGATCTGGTTCACAAACCGAGGTAAAGTACAAAAGAGTCCGGAAGTCCGGAGGTAAGGCTCGCAGCCGAGACTCTGAGACCTCAGAACGAGCACAATATGCAATATCACCGAGCGCTCAACCGGTGACATCTGAGTCTTAAGGTCGGTCAAAAATGGGGTGTCTACGCCATCTCTTCTAGCAACAGTATGATACGAAGCCAAAGCCCAAGTCACCCTGCCTATTATGTTATAGAACCGTCTAAGAGTCCTACTTCTCAAATTAGCCCACAAGGCCTTACCCCTAGCTGCACCCATCCCACAATTCAAAATGATACACCAAGCCCTCCCTATAAGCCCATCTCTATTTCCTTTTGTCCAGATGCCCTAGAAAGCTTGTTATCCTCAGCCTTCACTGGGCTATCCTTAAAGAGGAAAGCTTCTGATGAGACCTACCTTCTTCCTAACCCTTCGAAAACCCTAAAACTGGATTATAAGCTCTTAAGTGACCCCACATCTTTAGTACCCGTCCCAGTGTTTGAAAATGGTAGCTTCCCCAAGAAGCAGGGGAGAAGAGGGAAGTCATCTAAGATCAAGGCCAATTTAAAGACAAAGGTTTCGCCACAGGTGAATTTAGTGGATGTTGATGTGCATGAAGATGTTCCAGGGGCTATGGATGAATCTATCAGGTGTTCTCAAGCTCTTCAGTCCAACCCTATGGAGAGTCCTTTGGATAATGGAACACGGGTGGTGGTGGCTGACCCTCAACAGCCACAAGCCCTATGTCAATAATCAGCTGAAACTGTGAGGGGATTGGGTGACCCTTGACAGTCCAGATCCTCCGAGGGTTGTATACAACCCATCGCCCAGGTATCGTCTTCTTAATGGAGACAAAGAACCGGAGATCGAGATTAGACAGAATTGGACGTAGTTTGCATTTTCCTAATAGTTGTTATGTAGAGCCCGAGGGATTGGCGGGGGGTCTAGCATTGTGGTGGACGACTGAGGTGGATGTTGATATCAGATTCAAGGCTTCTAATCTGATTTGGTGTGTGATCACAAGCCAAGGTTTGGAGTGGTTAGCAACTTTTATCTATGCACCCTCCGAGGGTTGTACACAACCCATCGCCCAGGTATCGTCTTCTTAATGGAGACAAAGAACCGCAGATCGAGATTAGACAGAATTAGACGTAGTTTGCATTTTCCTAATAGTTGTTATGTAGAGCCCGAGGGATTGGCGGGGGGTCTAGCATTGTGGTGGACGACGGAGGTGGATGTTGATATCAGATTCAAGGCTTCTAATCTGATTTGGTGTGTGATCACAAGCCAAGGTTTGGAGTGGTTAGCAACTTTTATCTATGCACCTTCATGTCCTCAGCTTAGAGATGGTTTCTGGGATGTTTTGAGGTCGATTGCCAGTGAGAACAGTAGGTCGTGGCTTTGTATTAGTGATTTCAACGAAATTGGTTCTGTTTGGGAAAAGGAAGGCGGAGCTTGACCCAGTCCTCAGCGTATTGAAAAGTTTCAAAATGTGCTATCACATTGCGAGTTTCTGGACTTGGAATTTGATGGGACTGTGTTTACCTGGTCAAATCATCAACATGGCTCAGACAAAGTCAAGGAAAGGCTTGATAAGGCGGTAGCCACAGTGGCGTGGAGAGAGGTGTTCCCGTATGCCCAACTGATCCATGAAACATTTTTAGGTTCTGACCATTGCCCAATAGTCCTCAACTTTTGTATTCCTCAAAAGAAAGTCCCTAGACTGTTCAAGTTCGAGTCGATGTGGACCACATCCCCAGAGTGTAAAGATGTTGTTTCAACCAGTTGGCAGTGTCCTCAGGTAGGATCGCCTATGTTTCGTCTGAGCCAAAAGCTTTCTTATTGCCATCGGGGATTGAAAGAATGGAGTTTGAGAGAGTTTGGGAATAACAAGTTGAAAATTAATACTCTAAAAGGCCATTTAGCACATCTTCAAGCTCAACCGTCTTCGGTGGAGAATGATCAGGCCCAAAGGGGAGTTCAGACGGAATTAGAAGTCACTCTTCTTCGAGAAGAGATGTACTTGCATCAGAGGTCACGTATTCATTGGCTACAGTGTGGTGTTCAAAACTCTTCTTTCTTTTATGCCTCCCTTACCCAACGAAGGCAACGTAATTAGCTGGTTAAATTGTTAGATGGAAATGGTATTTGGTTAACCTCGGATGCAGATATTGATGCTCATTTGTTTGGATATTTCTCTACCCACTTTAAGAGTGATCAGGCAAGGGATTTGGCTCCTTCTCTCTCAGTAGTGGAGCATCTCATCACTGAAGATATGAACCGGAGGCTAACCAAACCAATCACTGATTCGGAGATCAAAGCTGCTGCCTTCCAACTTGGATCTTTAAAGGCCCCGGGGCCTGATGGCTACTCAGGAGTTTTCTATCACAAATACTAGGATATGGTGGGTGTAGATGTATGTGAGGCCATCAAAAAAAATTTTACTACTGGTCATCTCCTCAAGGAATGGAATCACACCAATTTAGTGCTAATTCCAAAGGTCCAGAATCCTGAGACACTTTCTCAGTTTCGGCCCATCAGCTTGTGCAATTTCAAACTCAAAATTGTGTCTAAAATAGTTGCCAATAGACTCAAACTAGTGCTTCAAACTATCATTTCGCCTCAACAGTCGGCTTTCGTTCCTGGCAGATTGATTCAAGACAATATCATTGTGGCCCATGAAGTGTTTCATCACTTGAAGCTGAAGAAGAGAAGTGTTATGCATGAAATGGCAGTCAAAATTGATTTTAATAAAGCCTATGATCATGTTCAATGGGACTTTTTGCGAGCTTTATTGGGGAAGATGGGTTTTCCTACTGTTTGGATCCAATGGGTTATGGAGTTAGTGTCCACGGTCTCCTTCTCCGTGTTTGTTAACGGGAAAAATCGAGCGGCTGTAATTCCTTCACAGCGTTTGCGGCAAGGAGACCCTCTGTCTCCATACCTCTTTGGTCTCATTGCCGAGGGTCTGTCACTATCCCTATCCAATAGGCCTCATGAGAAGTTGCTTTCGGGAATTAAAATGTGAAGAGGATGCCCCATTATTACACATTTATTTTTTGCGGATGATGCCTTTCTTTTTGCTAAGGCAAATAGGCGGGACTGTCAGGCTCTTAAGGTAATTTTGGATGTGTACAACTTTGCCTCTGGTCAGTTGATTAATTTTGAGAAATCCGGTATCATATTTTCAGCAAATACTCCTGAAGGTGTGAAGTTCGAAATCACTGCTTTGCTGGGGATGTCTCCAAGTATCCGAGGGACAAGATACCTGGGCCTTCTAATGTTTTGGGGTAGATCGAAGTCAAAAGCCTTTGGGTGTTTGATTGAAAAAGCAGTCACCAAGATAATGGAATGGAAGCAGAATTTGTTATCGCAAGCAGGGCGAGAAGTCTTGATTAAATCGGTGATTCAAGCGATACCGGCCTATGCTATGGCCTGTTTTGCTTTTCTGAAGAAATTCTGTAAGAGCCTCAACTCCTATATCAACAACTTCTGGTGGGGGAGTGATCCACTGGATAGAGGTTTTCACTAGACTAGCTGGACTAGTTTGGCTTTGACAAATCCTCAGGGTGGCATGGGGTTCAGAGACTTCCACTCCTTCAATCTTTCCCTTTTAGCAAAGCAAGCTTGGCGACTCATCAAGAACCCTCATTCTTTCTGTGCTAAGGTGTTAAAGGGCCTTTATTATCCTCACACAGATTTTCTCCCAGGTCTCAGGGGCAGAAGGCCTTTGTGGTCATGGGCTAGCATTCTTCAGGGCCGTGAGCTTTTATCAAAGGGTCTTCATTGGCTTGTTGGTAATGGCAAATCTATCCTTTTCTAGAAGGATAAATGGGTTCCTCAGTCCCATAAATTCCAAGTTCTCACTCCTTAGCCACGGGAGTGCCAAATCCAGAGGGTTAGCGAGGTTATTAACCCGAATCTCCCAGAATAGGACTCTGTTACATTGCGTGGGTTGGTTGGAAGTGAGGAAGCTAGATCTATTATGACCATTCCCATATCCTTAGTTAATCAAGATGACTCTCTTGTTTGGCATCACACCAAAACTAGAACCTTCGAAGTCCGAAGTGGGTATCAAATTATACAACGGGAATTTCAGTCACGGGTATCCTCTGGGGCTTCTACTTCAGTTCAGCCATCTGGAAGATTTTGGAAAATGATCTGGTCTCTTCCAGTGCCTTCCAAAGTCTGAAATTTCTAGTGGAGGGTGTGTACTAACAGTCTAGCTACTAAAGAGAATCTTCATCGTCGTAATTGTGCTCCTTCCCCTTCTTGTCCTATTTGTGGTTCTTGTCCGGAGTCTATTGAACACCTTCTTTTTCAGTGTAACTAGACTAGGCCTGTGTGGTTTGGGTGTGATCTTGGCTTCTTATCGGGGTCCATTTCTTTCTCCTCTGCAAAACAGTGGACTCAGGCAATTCTTGAAAGCTTTTCTAATGTGCGGGATAGCAAAGAGCGATTGGGCAAGGCTGCCACAGTTGGGTGGTGCCTTTGGAAGGCTCGTAATGAGTGGGTCTTCAATCAATCTGAAGTAGACTCGGTGCAAGTCATCCAACAGGCTTCTCTTCTCTGGAGGGAGAGCAGCTCGGTGGCTGTTGTGGTAGATTCTTTTCCTGTAAATGTTCATTTAGCGGATCAGGTTAGCATCAAATGGACTCCTCCTCCTTACGGTTTGTTCAAAATGAATTATGATGCTAGCTTTGCGTCCACAGGCTAAAAGACTTCCCTGGTAGTGGTTTTGCGGGATTGGTAAGGTCAAATTATTGATGGTGTTGTCTCCACAGTCCACACATCTTCAGTCGCTCAAGGCGAAGCCCGCGCTATTCGGTTAGCGTGTTTGTTTCTCCAGGCTCTTGGACTCTCAAATGTCCAAGTGGAAAGTGATTGCAAATCAGTTATTGAACTTTGTGTTTCTGAACTGGTTCCTCCTTGGGAGTGCCTAGCATTATTATATGATATTCGGTCCATGGGCCAAGCTTCTTCCTTGTCCTTCTCCTGGGTGCCAAGAGCAGCTAATACTATGGCCCATTGGCTTGCCTCCTCAAAGCTGCAGGAAGCTCTCCCTTTAGATTGGATTAGGAATCCTCCTCTGTCTTTAAGGAACTTGCTTTTGTCTGATTCTCTTGTTGTTTGAGAGTTTTCTCGAGTTCAAAAAAAAAAAAAAAAACATTAAAAGTATAATATACCTTTTAAAACAATAATGCAATCGAGATTCAAAAAATTACTCGAAAGTTGTCCAAATATATATATACACATAATGTATAGACAACATTCATTTGGATAGGATAGTTGATTCTATGTTCATGTAACTGCCTTTTGAGACAATAAAAAATTAAAAGTTCACGATTTGAATCGGTCGAACAATTGCAACCCTTTCGTTATCACTCACTAACATGCACACAAAAAATGAGACAATTCATTCCAGTCCTCGCCAACAAATTACACCACAATTTGCTCTTGTATAATTTTTTCAGATCACTCTTTTGGACTCAATAGTTTTTTTTTTTCAATATAAAAAACAGAAAAATGCTTGGGAGCACTAATTAGTGCTCCTACTAATTAGGTGGCAGTGGGTCCCGTCATTAATGATGTGATGTTTTGATCTTAAAGTTGTATTTTTTTTTTTTTACTTTTTTAATACATTAATACTATTAGTGGTGATATTTTTAATGGGATGAATCATTGTTGTAAAAAACAAGATACGGTGTTGCTGATGAAACCAAAGCTGGAACGCCTAACAAAACCCTTCACTGCCTTGTACTCGTTGTCTTCTCACTCAACTTCCAAACAAATCATACCGCATCCCAGAATCACTCAGGCGGTCTCTTTTGTCTTTTTCTGTTTCCACCATCATCATAAACTGTACTACTATTAATCAATTATACTCTCATTTTCCAGTGCTCTTCTCTCCTCTGTTCTCTCTCTCTCCAAGTTTTTGCCTTCAAAACCCACTTGAAGAGAGCATGTCTGCAGGAATCATCGCAGCTCCAGTTGGTGGATCAAGCTATGTTGGCTTGAAACCCAACTCATCAAAGCTTTTCCCGGTCAAAGATTCAGTTTCATGGACCAGAAAAACTGTCTCTAATGGCTCTAAAACCCACTGCATGAAGGTACTAATGTGATTCACTAATGATTTGGATACTATTGATTCATGGTTTTAAATTACAGTATCGGGAGATGCAGTCATATATGGCTGCATCGGGCAGTATACTAGTGAATAATCGTATCAGAAATCCAAATCCCGTTATTGAAGCTTCACTTTGTGTTAATTCTCATCAAATTTAACTCTTGTGTTTGATTGTGGATATTCATGTGTCTTAAATTGACAGACATGGAATCCAATTGATAACAAGAAGTTTGAGACACTGTCGTATCTCCCGCCTCTCTCGGATGAATCGATCGCGAAGGAGATCGAGTACATGCTCAAAAAGGGATGGGTGCCATGCCTTGAATTCGACAAGGTAAGAACTACAATTAAAAGATAGATATGCATATGCCATTTTCATACTCCATACAAGAAGTGTTTTTCTCCTGACTTAGCTTGGAGCAAAGAATGTATTTGTTTGGTGCAACTTCTGGCCAAATTATGGATAATCAAAAGGCAGAAGTGAAAAAGAATTTCTCTCATGTTTCCCAATAATCAACTTTTTCATCTTTTTAAGCAATTTCTGTCTTAAAAACTGAAAGTATAAGAGAAGTCATGGGCTCAAACATCGAGCCTTAAGGTGGATTATGGTTGGAAGATTTATTCTCCACTAGGCTACTCAGATATTCAGAGTTTAGAAGTTTGGTAATTGACTGGTATATGTGAGATGGGGACTAAATGTACATGGGAATAAATCTGTTTGAGTACTGGACAACCTAAAAGAAAGAAAAGCATAATCGACAACTAAGACCTTATTGGTATACTTTTGAGCATTTTATGGAATCTTCATATGCTTTGAAGTATTGGTGATTAATTATTTAATTGATACTTCTTTTCTCTTCTCTTCCCTTCTCTTCTCTTCTAATATTTTCTTTTTTTTTTTTTTTTTTTTTTTTTTTTTTTTGTTGTTGTTGAAAAGGTTGGGCATGTGCATAGAGAGAACAGCAGAATGCCAGGATACTATGATGGGAGGTACTGGACACTGTGGAAGCTGCCAATGTTTGGTTGCAGTGATTCTTCACAAGTCCTCAATGAAATCCATGATTGCAAGAAGGCTTACCCAAATGCGTATATTCGTTGCTTGGCCTTCGACAGCAAGCACCAATGTCAATGTATGTCCTTTGTCATTCAAAAACCCACCCCCACCTCCTAAAGCGGTTGCTGCTTCAAGGTCATCACCCTTCTCTATCTATATATCTCTCTCTCTCTTTCTCTCTCTCTCTCTCTCTAATGTGTTGTGATCGTTTTAAAACTATTTGTTGTGTCTTTTCTTTTATTTGCTTTCTTTTCTTTTTGTTTTAATTGGATATTAATAAAGGTTGTTGTTTGGTTTTATTACATGACTTGACTTAAGTGGAATCTTCAAGTTTTAGTCAAAATAATTGTTTATAATCTATGTGCAATAATGACCCATGGTTTTGAGCTTCCTGTGGGCAAAGCCCACAGTTTTTCTTTATTTTGGTTTGTTTGGCGCCACTTTTGGAGATGTAATAATGATATGCTGTTACTCTTAGCCTCCGTTTGGCAACACAGTTTAGGGCTAAAATAGTCACTAAATTTCAAAATTGGCTAATTTAGTCACTAAAAGACAAACATGAATTCAGGATGATGACTTACCTACATTGCAGGGGGAAAGTACCAAACTACCCCTCATGTTACTTGGCACCTCATATTACTTGGCCCCACCCCTACATCACGCAAATTAATGAGCAACTGTTACAAATAATGCCGCCCCCACCACTAAGTCACGTAAATTAAGAAGCAATTGTTAGAAATAATGTCTTTAATACCTATTTTGATATTTGATTAAAATATGAATTATTTTTTATGATTTTAAAAATTATATATTATGTTTATGATTTCTAATTTTATAACAAAATGTCACTTTTATTATTAAATCAAGTCAATTAATAATTTATAATGATGTTAAAAATATATTTCCCACAGACAAAAGTTTCATCACTTTCAAAGAACACGTTTTCCCAGAAAAGGAACTAATGGACATTGAAAAAAAAAATTAAAAACATTTTTTTGGTTTTTGTTAAAATATTTTATAAAAATAAATTCAAACTCTATTTATAAAAATATTTTAAATATTTTAATTTTTTTGTTATGTATTTGATTATGATTTGAGTATAGAATTGTGAAAGTAGTATGAGTTTCGAATTATGTGTTTGGTTATGAGTTTTAAAAATAATTTACTAATTGAGTTTTATTTTATATGTTTGGTTACGATTTGAGTGTAGAGTTGTTTTTAAATTTAAAATATTAACATTTATAAACAAGTGTACCATATTTCATAAATCAAACCATCCATTTTATTATTAATTAAAACCAAAACAGTCCTCCTTTAAAGGTTCAACCTCCAATTATAAACCCAAAAAAAAACAAAGAAAATTAACAAAATCTAATAACCATTCCACTAAACCCACAATACTTAAAAAGTTATCAAAATCTAATAACCAATCCACTAAACCCCCAAGCTCAACAAGCAAAGTGCAACCATCAATATTAATTATATAACCACATACAACCGCTATAATAGGGGAGAAATAAATCAATTATAGCACAAAATATATCAAACTTTTTTTTATTGGAGTTGAACCTGAAACTTCACATCATAGATGGAGAAATTAGTTGAGAGCATATTAGGTTCAAGTCAAATTGTAAATACTGGTGCCTAATGTCCCGGGGAGGAAATTAGCACTATTTGGCCAAATATTAAGACAAATTATCAAGAGAGATTAATTTGAAACAAAAAGGTTAGGTTTGTATTGTTAGCTTATTTTTCCTACGAAGGAAAATATCATAAATGTGAACGTGCCAATAAAGATGAAAAAATCCTTACATATTAAATTCAAGTCAATTATCAAGCGATTGCGTTGACGGTTCTTTTGCCTCAATGAAAAAGACTTCAAAATTGCCTAGTGTTAAAGAAAATAAAAATTAAAAGAAGAATGAGGGAGAGTTATGTGTTTGGTTATGAGTTTTAAAAATAATTTTTTAATTAAGTTTTGTTTTATATATTTAGTTACGATTTGAGTATAGAGTTGTTTTTAAATTAAAAATATTAACATTTTAAATTATTTAAATTAAAGAATAAGAACTAATTAATGTATAAAAAAATATAAATGACAAAAACATAAATTTAAAAAAAAATAAAAAAAAATTTAAGCAAAAAATAAATAAAAGAATATTTTACCAAACTACGCCCAAATAAACAAATAAAAAATAAAAAAATTTAAGCAGAATACCCAAATCGAAACCCAAAAAAAAAAAAAAAGGTAGCAAAAAACGACAAATCAAAACCGAAAATAAGAGAAAAATAAAAAACAAATAAAAAAAAACAACAACAACATTGGTGGACCGTTTGGGAAGCTGACGTGGATGTCAAAATTTTTGAATTACAGGTACATGTGGATCAAGGGCACTTTGGTAAATTAACAGGAGGCCACCTCATCAAAAAGTCAAAAAGCCAAAAAAGTCAAAAAACCCTTTCCAAATCAAGTTTTTTAACCCCAAGTTAAAATAGTCAAAAAAATTAAAAAGTTAAAAAGTCAATACACTCCCCAAATGGAGGCTTAATTATAATAAGTTTTTCTTTATTTTGGTTTGTTTGGCACCGCTTTTGGAGATGTAATAATGATATCATGTTACTCTTAATTATAATAATAAATCACTCAAATCCCAACGACTTTACAGCATTGTTTAATCAGCAGTGCTACATAGTACTAGTAAAAAATTAAAAAATTAAAAAATAAGTAAAAGATAAAATAAGAAGAAGAAAAAGATAAATTAATACTCATTTAGAGCTCCTTTTTTAGAGGTGTAAATCATTTTTATTGTTTAATATCCCTGGCCTCTGACACCGACAACTCTTTTATAACATTTTTAGTAATTTTTTTTTGTGAATTTTTTTAACTATTTAAACAGAGAGTTTGTTTGTCCATTTTTAAATTAAAAAACAATGACAAACATGTCTTGTCTTCTGCAATTTTAAGAGGGGAGAGAGAAGGGTATTTTTGTCTTTTAGCTAAAAAATTTATCTTTTTGCAATTAAATTTTGATTGTTTTCTTGATCGGTGGATTAGAGTATGTACAAAATATTCATTTTTAGATTGAAAAATAGTAACAAACAAGTCTATCTGTGCACCATTAAGATACTTTTAAATTAAATATGGAGATAAATAAAAATATAAGCCTATTATTAAATTAAAGGAGTTTTTTTAATTCAACTATCTAAAAATATTTTGTAGTAGTTTAAAAACAATTGAAAGATATTCATTAATTTAGGGACACTAACTCCTTTTCGGACAAAATTATCTTTAGTCAAGTTTTGTTATTCCACCACCTTCAGCCAAAACTATCATTGCAACTACTCACCTTCGACTCTTGAAAACTATCTCTACTCATTGATAACAACTGTCTAGTGATCACCGTCAGTCCATTTTTGACAATTCTCTGACAAAGTGAAATTTCATTAACTTAGCATATTAAAATTCTCTAATAACTCCTTGACAAAGTAAAATTTCTCTCAAGTAAAATTTTATTAGCACAATGAAATTCATTGTGTGACAACGAAAATGAAATTATTTTTAACAAAAAGATAAATAGAAAAAGAGTAGAAAGAGAGAAAAGAAAGATAGAAATCAAAGATATGGAGTGTGGTTACAAGAGATGTGATGCATTTGAGATCAGGACAACAATAGTGATGGATTTGGAAGCGTCAATAATGAATCTAGAAGCAACAGTTGTAGATTTGGGAGAGGCAAACAAGAAGTTTGCACTTATAAATGACACTAACTTCATATATGGACTATAGTTGCGAACAGTGGTTGTGAATGGTAACAACTGTAGCAGTTTGAAAGTGATGACAACGGAAAGATGGTTGAAGCGGTGCATAGAGAGAAATATGTAGAGAGAGAGAGAGAGTGAGTGAAAGTGATGACAACGGAAAGATGGTTGAAGCGGTGCATAGAGAGAAATATGTAGAGAGAGAGAGAGAGAGAAATGTATACAATGAAAAACATAATCTAAATTGTTGTAGTGTTTTTAGGGTTAAGGGTATTTTTTGTCATTTATCTCAACATTTTTTTTCTTATCCTACTAAAATTTGAAAATTTGGAATTATGAGACCATAACTAGTATGGAATATTTCAATATTGTTTTAACTTTTATAGAGATATATAGAGGGATCTATCCTTAATTAGTCCAAAGTTAAAATATTGGAATAAATATATATATTTGTGCATTATCTATGCAATCAATTTGTGGACTATTTGTGCTAAGATGTATGTGCATTACCTATGTATTTTAAAGAATAATGTTTGATCCACACAAATAGTGGTGTGGGAATCTGCCTAAATGAGCTAGCAAGCTTCAAACTCAAAAAGAGTCCACTCGTCCAAACCCCTCTCTCTCTCTCCCCCCCTCTATTTCTCACCCAAACCCTCTCTCAAAAGTGCCTTGAATTTCTGGTGGACGATTTGGCCATCTCCCCCACTAACTGCAATGACCCCCAATCTCTCTAATGACCTGTTGTTGTGCCGGAGGACCTCAAATATAAATACAAAAAACAAAGATACAGAAGAATAACAAAACAAATTCTAATTCACTCAAACAAATTCAGAATAAATACAAAAAATTCACAAACAAATATACAGTGGAGGTAATCCCTCATAACTCACAATCACTCTCAAATTCAAATATTTTCTATATTTAATATAACACATTAGCTTCCTATATATAGGTTTCTGATAAGGATGAGAGACGAAAGCTGTGAAGCCAAAATCACCTTGTTTCGGACATGTTCGGGAAACTTCATGATGGCCCATTATTGACCAACTAAGAACTTCAATTCAAAACCATCTTCTTCAGTAGCTTCTATATCATCTAGGAGCCTTAAGAACAATCTGGAGGAGAAGATGAGAAATTAAATCCAAACTTCTTATGCTTCATGAAGAAGCAAAGCCAAATTTTCAACAATTCTCCACCTTAGCAAAGATTCTCTAGTACATAAATTTTAACAAAACTTCACCTCAGCAAAATAACTTAAACAACCAACCATACAAGTGCTCCAAAGCAAACACACTCCAATGCCCAAAACAAATTCTGGTACATCAAACAAAACAAACGAACGCTCTAACAGATCAAAACAAAACAGCAGACTCAAATGTAACACCCCGAAAATAATGCAATAATTCAACAATAAAGACTAATACAAAATGACATAAACAGAGTATTAGGCTTTCATTAATTAGAGTCCATTTATAAAAAGGGCACATGCTTTACACATTTATAAGCTCTATTCTGAATCTATAGCATGTGGCACCAAACTAAATGATCGATGAAATAAATGCCTTACGAGCTTACAACTTTC